CTCTAAACTGTATTTACACATTGATAATAAGGCGGAGGCTTTATTCTGCAACTGGCAGACATCTGAAGAAAGACGCTCTATGCACTATTATAGAACCAGAAAGGGACATGTCAAAGATCAGACCAAGTGTGTAGTGTGGAATCGAGGACAGATGAAATGTGAATGTGCGGAGAAGGGAGGCGCTGTGAGTGTGGGGGAGAATTACAATCCCTCATTTCTACCTTTTATTTCTGGAAGGCCATGCATCAGAAATACACCACATAGAGAGAATGCTGAGCCGCTAGAAGCCGTGCCTCCGCCTGACCCCCGCAAATACTGGACACTGAAAGAAATATTCTCTGGAGAGTTCGGCTCTCTGTCTTTTCCCATCTGCGGCAGAACTGAGAAAAGGGCAGCTGCACGGTGTCCCAGAGCAGGACTGACACATGGCGGGTAGGGTGATGTCTGTCATGGGATCCTATAGCATGGACCTTTACCCACATTTTACAGGGACACACCAGTCACATGTAGAAGCAGATTTCTAAATAGATTCAAAATATAAGTTCAAAAGTACCAAATTTTAGCAAAAGTAGCAACTTAAAGTGGTTGAACTGGATGGACTTTTGTCGTTTTTCAGCCAGAATGTCAGCAACTTAGGGCTCCATGTATACTGCAGCTGATAAACTCACGTTTAGCAGATGTTTAGTGTTTTTTCAGCAGCCCCTGAACTCTCCCTAATGTTTTCCTATGTGTCCATGTACACATCGTCGTTTACAGTCATTTACAGGTATTTGAGTTTACAGTCGTTTTTTTGAACGCAGAAAACTTGCATTCAGATGTCGATTTTATCAGCGTTTCAAACACAAAATGTGGCAAATCGTGTTTATAAGCGTTGTGTTTGAAAATGTTTTTAAGTCTTCCAGTTCCCTATGCTGTCCAGAGCCTTTTTTTATCATAAAAAATGCATACAAAGCATTTTCAAGGTACTCAGATGGAAAAAACACTGAACACAGGATGTTCCTACCAAGCTTGTCACACATTGCAATGACCAATTCACACCTCAGGCCTCTCCCACCCTTGGAAACAAAAGATATGTTAATGATCAACTCCCACCTAATTATCTCAACACATACTGCTGTCTCTGCTTCTACTCTCTGTCTTTCTCTGAAACAGTCTGAAATAGTTAATAATTTACCACTTTTCAGTGCATTCTGGGCATTTGGGAGGTTTCTGCTGTGCTTATCTTTAAAAAACACTTCTAAACGCAAACGCGCATAAACGCGATATGCAAATGCAGATAAACAGACTTTTTTAACCTACGTTTCCAGCAGTCAGTTTCCATCATTCAGAAGTGTCCCGTGTACCTGGGGCCTAACTATGTAAAAAAAGAAATGAGAGGCATTTTCCTGGTACCCCAACTATGTTGTAAACACATATATATATATATATATATATATATGTATTTATGTTAAGTGACTGGCCTCAGTTGATAACCTGAGACAACACCAATCAAGTTGTACCTGTTTATCTGCAGCCCTCTCTCCTCTACAACCTTCTAAGGCCTCATGCACACTGAGCCTTTGCTCAGCTCCTCTGAACTCTTTTCTCCTGGAAGGAGAAAGGCAGCTTAACAAATGTGGTAAACGCCATGTACTGCACACACATTTAAGTGCATTTGCGTATTAATGCATACTATTGGCCAGAATGTTAATTTATGCACAAAAGCACATAAACATACCTATCTGTTGGGTGTGTTTATGCCTGTTCCACATTTTTCTGTTCGAACACTCTATTCCTGAACGCACTGGTAATTTTTTTTTTTCTTCTGCCTGTAAACACTCCTCTTCAAATACATCATTAAGCATCTATGTATGCATGGACACATAGGCTAACACTGAGGGGCGTTTAGAGGCAGAAAAAAAAAGGATGTAAAAGCGGAGTTCTTGTTGGGAGAGGCCTAAAGCACTCAGATCAAAGGTTTTTACTCAGCTCTAGAAGGCAGGGGGCAGAGATCTGACATCACACACACAGCATAGAACAGGGAGCTGAGTGTAATCTGAGACCTGAGTGAAGGGAATAGACAAACACCCCTCTATGCAGTCGTATAGGGAACCATGCACAGCTGAGGATGTCAACCATCTTCTGTGTGCTGGAGAGGGGGTTGGCCATCTCCCAAAATTGACTGGAGTTGAGTTAGACTATCGGATGTGACTCATGCAGATAGCAGAGGGTGGAGAGATCAGAGAGGAACCACACTAGGTGCTTTGGATTGAGGCAAGTACACACTATAACAGGATATGCTTTGTTCATTTTTAATTTCAGAGGTTTTAAAGTGACACTAAATTACAATATTTTTCTTTGCACTGCTTAATAGCCCTATAATCTTCTTTCCTAAAATAGTTTCTTACTACGTTTTTCTGCCTCTTTATAACGTCCTTCATGAGCTATTGAACCTCTCCTTTCCTCCCTCATTTCTGTTTATTTGGAATGAACAGTGTAGATTCCATAATCTATAGTCCATCTCCAGAGTGAACAAGAGAGGATGGCTATGTTCCTACATACAGAAGGATCCATGGAGAACAAAATGTTGTCACCCTGTAACAGGAAGTCAGATCACAGCAACAAGAAGAGGAATTTGGGGAGATGGAGGAGGCCAACATACTTACAAAAATACATACTTCGATTTTTTTTAAATCAGAGTTTAGTGCCACTTTTAAGTATAACGGTAAAGACTCCATCAGGTTTTATTTTTTGTGACCCTCTTCAAAAATGTTTCTTTACTTCCATTGTGTAAACCCAACAGGAAGTGAAAGAAAATCTCTCCAGTGAGTAATCTCTTGGATGTCCCTTCACTTTCAGTTCCAATGACACTGGTCATCAGGACAAATAGAGCAAATCTCCTCTACAGGGACACAGACAGCAATAAAAACCTGACAAGGGTTCTAAATCTTCCAAACCTGACAGCTCCATACAAGACAAAAATGATAGATACAGATACCAATAGATTCAGATACTGTTTAATTCTCAAAATTGGGAAAAAAGGAATGCGAGTTCTACTGTATCTCCCCTGTACAGTATGTCTACTTACTTCCCTTAATGAGATGTAAACTGTAGATGTGAAAAATTTAAATAAAAGTTGATTTAAAAAAAATAGGAAAAAATCTATTTAATAAGGTTTTTTATTTGGGTTTTACCATGTATAAAGAATTCACATTTGAAGGTCAGATGTAACATAGCTCGGTCATAGATGGTGCTGATTCAAATGCAGGTAAATATGATATGATTTAAGCTGCATGATATACGCTGTAATATGAGGATATGACCGCGTTTGAATTGCCTGAGAATTATAAATACCAAGATAATGGAACATAATACATACCTCACTGTAATTAACCTGGTCCTGGGAAGACACATGGAAGAGAGTGAAGCAGGAGGGAGGAGAGATGTGAAGTTAGGGGTTTAGTCCCATGGCCATCTTGGAGATGTCCCAAGTACAGCACCCTATCATTGTAAGAGGTGTCTGTCATTGGTGGAAGGAAGGAAATGCTGGACCCAAGGGGACCTGATTTTGCCATAAGAGGTCATGCTCTCGAACAGCTTTGTTGTCATTCTGTTGTTAACTTCATGGAAATTCAGGGTTGTGGATTTCCAGGATTTAGCACTGGTTTGTTTGGTCGATGAGAAAATGAATGTTAAGCATGTAACTGGTAACAAGGAAATGGCATATGATTTTTTATTAACCAATGCATGGGTGCGGGATGAAAGGATGACCCAGGATAATAGCTACAGTATGTCTCTGTATACTTTGGACAAAATTGCATGTACCTTGAGGCAATTACCGCAAATAACATAAAAGTCCCAAGGCTCTGCAAGCACACTAAAGAATTACAAAGGCAGAATGTATTTATTTATCTAGTTCAGGTACTTATATAGCACCGTCAATTCAGCACTTTACACACATATATTGTACATTCACATCAGTCCCTAACTCTCAAGGGGCGTACATTATAAAGTTGCTAACTTGCAATCATACACATACTAGGGCCAATTTAGACAGGAGCAAATTAAACCTACCAGCATGTCTTTGGAATGTGGGAGGAAACTGGGGTACCCGAAGGAAACCCACGCAGGTACACGGAGAACATGCAAACTCCAGGCAGGTGGTGCTGTGGTTGGGAATTGAAACAACAACCCTAGTACTGTCAGGCGGAAGTGCTAACCATTAAGCCACTGTGCTGCCCAGAATTTAGCAATTCCTTTAGGTACCAAGTTGCATATAGGTCTTGTTTAGACTTGCAGTTGGATGGCAGCAAAAATGTGCGTTTTCCCTGCGTTTTTGCCACCACTAACCGCCCCATCCTTAAGCTGAAATAGACAGCGAACAAGGATGTTTGCATGCCACGCTCATGATGCTTTCAGGATACAGCAAAGTTGACCTGACATGCATCACTCGGCAGACGGCCAGCCCACTGAATGGTACACATGCAAGTAGATGGGGAAATGCCGCAAACGCATCGCAACCATATGCATGGCATGCAGTTGTGGTGAGATTGTTAGCAAAATTGAGGTTAAGACAGGCAGTGATGAGGCGTTGCATCGCTTAGGAGTTTATTTTACACTTTTGTTTGTATATATACCTTTCTCGAACGTCTTAGGCTGGTTATGTGCTATGCAGTGTCCTCTTCTTCTTTTCTGGTGCTGGGCAGTCCTCATCAATGCAAAGAGCAGCACAAACATCATCACTCTCTGCATCATTACATTGTAAATGCAGGGCACCGTGTTGATGCTCCCTTGGGGGTGGAGTCATGATGCCCTGCACTCACTGTATGCCCTCAGTCATCTGGGCTGAATGACCCAGGGTCCCATTCAACTTGGAAGGCTGATGCTCTCTAGTGGTGGAATTACATTAATGCAGGGGACAGTAAAATCGAATGACTTAAAATACATGTGTAAGTTATAATTGTTATTATTTAGTACTTAACCAAATAAGTAATAAAAAAACATTAAACAATATAGATTCTCTATATGTGTGACTGGTCACTGACAGTATTATTTATTTCCTTTGACAGATAACAAATATGCCCCAGCGGTCACTCTGAATGGCTTCATCTTCATTCTGGGAGGAGCTTATGCCAGAGCGACAACCATCTATGACCCAGAAAAAGGCAACATAAAAGCCGGACCTAACATGAATCACTCCAGACAGTTCTGCAGGTGAGACAACAATACATACAAATACAGCAGAGACCTGATCAGGTTATAGGAATGAATGAACTCTTCACATCCTTAATGGGGTAAAAGGCAATGCTGTGACATAATCAACTATATAAGTGCACTGCATACAGCATGGTTCATCTTGTTCAGAGGATCAGATCTGCCTCACATTTGCAGTGTATGTGTTCAGGATGCTAAACATTATAGCCAGGATTTCCACTTCTTTGCTCAGCGATGGTTACATCAGCTGTCACATTTTGATGCAATATATACCTGAGCCTGCGTAACTGCATCTTTTTAAGTATCTTTTTTTGTCCAATGTGAAATGTGCACATTTTTTGTGTTACTATAGATATTTAGCTGGCTATGGAACACGGCTGTGTCTATGGAATGCTGTCTATGCACTCCAAAAGTGTATAGGTCACAAATCAATATCTCAGTGGGTGCATACTGCAAGGATTAATTTACCTAAGTATAATGTATCAGTGTTGTCACTATCAATGAAGTGTATCTAAAATTAATAAAAATATAATATATTGCAGCTTACCAGTCTTTAGATGTAGTGGCTGCATTTATTTCTGTTTTTGATCCACTTCAAAAACCTAAACTGTATTAGTCCTTATTCAGAAGACACCAGATCTATTATTTATTACAGACTTTTATATATCACTGACAAATTGTGCAGCACTTTACATACTGTACTTTCACATCATTTCAAAGATGTGATCCAGGAGCACTGGCAGCGTCTCAAAGCATTCAGATTGCATAGGAAACAGTCTATGACACATTCACCCCTGAACGAGTCGCTGTGTTGATTGGGTTGTTCTGTCCTGTTCCAATGATGACCCATACAGGACTTGCCCAAGACCCACCAACATTAGAATAACCACAGCAATAACACATCCCAATAACAGAGACAGTAAGCATACAGTACATATAATATATATATACATACATATACATAAGTTTTAGATAGGTGTGAAAAAAATGCTGTAAGTTAAGAATGCTTTCAGAAATAGTTATTAGTTATTTTTTATCAATTAACAAAATGGAAAATAAATAAACAGAAGAGAAATACAAATCAGATCAGTTACCACCCTTTGCCTTCCAAACAGCATCAATCCTTCTAGGTAGACTTGTACACAGTTTTTGAAGGAACTCAGCAGGTAGGTTGTTCCAAACATCTCGGAGAACTAGAAAATATATAAAAGTGACTGTGCACAGGATGACTGATATCAGAGAATAACAAATAAAAAAACCCATGTGACCGGAAGTTACATCACAAAGCTTTGATGCGTTTCAACCTGCTTGGTCGTTTTCCTGGAGAACTAACTACAGATCTTCTGTGGATGGAGGCTGCCTCAAATCCTTCTGTCTCTTCATGTATTCCCAGACTAAAAGATGTTGAGATCAGAGCTCTGTGGGGACCAAACCATCACTTCCAGGACTTCTTGTTCTTCTTTAAACTGAAGACACTGTAATTCTTAAAATACATTGGCTGTGTGTTTAGGGTTGTTCTACTGCTGCAAGAATAAATTTGGGGCCAATCACACACCTCCCTGATGGTATGGCAAGATGGATAAGTATCTGCCTGTATTTCTTGGTATTAAGACATTGTTGATCCCGATCAAATCCCCATTTGCATAAATGCAGCCCCAAACTTGCAAGGAATTTCCACCATGCTTCACTCTTGTCTGCAGGCACTCATTATTGTACCGCTCTCCAGCCCTTCAGTGAATAAACTGCCTCCTGCTACAGCCAAATATTTCACATTTTTGACTCATCAGAGCACCTGCTGCCATTTTTCTCCCCCCCCCCCCCCCAAGGTCCTATGTTTTTGTGTATTGTTGAGTTGCTTAGCCTTGTTTCCATGTTGGAGGTATGGCTTTTTGGCTGCAATTGATCCATGAAAACCACAATTGGCCAGACTTCTCCGGACAGTAGATGGGTATACCTGGGTGCTACTGCTTTTTGCCAGTTCTGTGCTGATGGTACTGCTGGACATCTTCCAATTTCAAAGGGAAATGGGCATGATGTGTCTTTCATCTGCTGCACTAAGCTTCCTTGGCTGACCACTGCATCTATGGTCCCATTTCTTTGTGTTTCTTCAAAAGAAACAGCACATCTTGAAACCACAGTCTGCTTTGAGATCTTGTGGGATATCTTGCTGATGCATTATAACTACCTTGTGTCTTGTTGCTGTGCTCAGTCTTGCCATGGTGTATGACCTGTGACATGAAAAGGTCTTCCATAACCTCATCATAGAAGCAGAGTTTGGTTGTTCCTCATCCAGTTGTAAACCTCCTACACACAGCAGTTTCTGTTTCAGTTAATGACTGTGTTTCAACCTACATATGAAATTGATGATCATTAGCACTTGCTTGGTATAATTGGATAATCATACACCTGGCTCTAATTCTATAAAATCCCTGGCTTTGTGCAACTGTACAAATTGATGCTGCCTTGAAGCCAAAGGGTAGTCACAAAAAATATTGATTTGATTAAGAGTTTTCTTCTGTTCGCTCACTTCTCATTTTATAAATTGATACAGATTAACAATTAAAATATTTTGAAAGCATTCTTACATTACAGCATTTCTTCACACCTGCCTAAAATGTTTGCACAGTACTGTATATAGGAATGAATGGGGCGGAGGGGAGGGTGCGCAGTACGAAGAGGACCAGGCCAGGACATCTTGGCAGTGTTGATGCCAAGCAGGACAAATTGAAGATTGTGGAAACTGGTAGTAAGCATTTTACTAAGCTGTCACTACTCAGTGGGGTTCTCTTTACATGCAACTTCACTAAAAATGAACTGGTCCTTTAAGGTAAATTGGGTCAATTTAGTGACTTTACCACCATTGCAGTGTTTACTGGATTACATCAGTAGCTCAGTGACTGCTTTCACTTGTTGCCTGAAAGTGCTTTTAGGGCTTGTTCACACTAAGCTTTGCCCTCTAAAGAGTGATCTATGTTTGGTATACTCTTCAGAGAGCATTTGACAGACAGTGAGGGGGTGTTGTATTGGCTCTCACCCCTGCTAGCCTGCATTTGCATGCTCCGCTGAAAGCAACAGGTTGTATAATTTCTGCTGCAGCCATGAAGCAAAGCATTGCACCTGCGGCTTGTGTGCACCCCCAATCTCTTCCTCTGCAGCTAAAGGGGGTAGCGGTTGAGGGGTGTAAAAATTGTTGCTCAACTGCAGCATTTTGACATCTCCAACTGCTAATGTAAACAAGCACTTAAGATTCCTATGACTTTGTGATTTTTGGTATCCTGGCTTTGTGGTTTCTATATCATTAATGTCTATTGGTATACACTGGTAAAACATGCTCATGGCACAACCATCTCTAGTGAGAGAAAATATGTCTGTTTATATATTGTGTTACACACATCTGGAGTCTGAATGGTTGCCATTGACAATGCAGACACTTTCTCTTCCCCTGGTTTACATCCATGTTGCCCATTCCCTGGTCCTGAAAGCCAGTGATGGCCATCAATCTGAGTGAGTGGCAGGCTCCATCTGCTGCTGTGCCGCTCGGTGCCAGCTGCCTGCGAATTCACAGCTGTTATCCTGATAATTTACAAGACAGTGTTTTCTCTAAATATTTATCAAATCATCCTCATCTCCTAAATGGAGAGGCAGCCGGATAAGCTGGAGAAGTTTGGTCTCCTAGCGGGATTAGCTTCACATATGAATGTGTGATGCCGAGGAGAGTTGAGCCTTGCCATGTGACAGGTGCTCCCCCTCCATCCACCATTCCCCGTACTGCACAGCACCTCATAGTCTGTGATCATCTATATTGTGCACTACTACATCTTCCCAACATGCATTGCTGAGGCCAGATTGACAGCCCAATTCATCTTCTATATGAAACACTCGTTAGCATCTATTGGGGTCCCAAAAGCCCAGATCTGCATAGAATTTTCCAACTTGTGAAGTGCAAGAACAACAGAGGAACAGACGCCAGACAGCAGCTGAGCAAATACCAGAGCAACAGAGCCCACATCATACCAAGTCTACCCACCTTCCCTGACCAGATCTGTCTCTATCTATCTGTCTGTCTATATATCTATCTATCGATCATTTACCTATCAATCTGTTTAAATATCAATCTGTTTACCTATCTATCCATCTACACTGCTCAAAAAAATGAAAGGAACACTTTGAAAACATCAGATCTCCATGGGGAAAATATCATGCTGGATATCTATACTGATATGAATGTGTTAGGAACATAAGGATGCCCCATTGTTTGAAGGAAATGAAAATTATCCACCTACAGAGGACTGAATTCAAAGACACCCCAAAAAACAAAGTGAAAAAATTATGCAGCAGACTAGTCCAATTTGCTGAAATTTCATTGCAGCAACTCAGAATGGTACTCAGTAGTTTGTATGCCCCCACGTGCTTGTATGCATGCCTGACAATGTCGGGGCATGCTCCTAATGAGACGACAGATGGTGTCCTGGGGCATTTCCTCCCTAATCTGGACCAGGGCATCACTGAGCTCCTGGACAGTCTGAGGTGCATCCTGGTGTGTCATGGACTGAAACATTATCCCAGATGATGTTCTGTTGGATTTAGGTCAGATGGGCATGGGGGCCATTCAATATTATCCTCCAGGAACTGCCTGCACATAAGGTCGGGCATTATCGTGCACTAGTAGGAACCAAGGATCCACTGCACCAACGTAGGGTCTGACAATGGATTTCATCCCGATACCTAATGGCAATCAGGGTACCATTTTCTAGCCTGTAGAGGTCTGTGCGTCCTTTCATGGATATTCCTTCCCAAACCATCACTGACCCACTACCAAAACAGTCATGCTGAATGATGTTACAGGCAGCATAAACTTCTCCATGGCTTCTCCAGACCCTTTCAGGTCTGTCACATGTGCTCAGGGTGAACCTGCTCTCATCAGTGAAAAGCATAGGGCGCCAGTGGCAGACCTGCCATTTCTGATGTCCAATGGCAAATGCTAATTGAGCTCTATGGTGCTGGGCAGTGAGCACAGGGCCCACTAGAGGACGTCGGGCCCTCAGGCCACCCTTATAAAGTCTGTTTCTGATTGTTTGATCAGAGACATTCACACCAGTGGCCTGCTGGAGGTCATTTTGTAGGGCTCTGGCAGTGTTCATCCTGTTCCTCCTTGCACAAAGGAGCAGATAACGGTCTTACTGATGGGTTAAGGACCTTCTACAGCCCTGCCCAGCTCTCTTAGAGTAACTACCTGTCTCCTGGAATCTCCGCCATGCTTTTGAGACTGTGCTGGGAGACACAGCAAACCTTCTGCTAATGGCACATATTGATGTGCCATCCTGGAGGAGTTATACTGCCTGTAGGGTCCAAGTATCGCCTCATGCTACTAGTAGTGACAGTGAGCCCAGCCAATGCAAAACTAGTGAAGAACAGTCAGAAAAGATAAGTAGGGAAAAAAATGTCAGTGGCCTCCACCTGTAAAACCATTCCTGTTTTGGGGATCATCTCATTGTTGCCCATCTAGTGTACCTGTTGATAATTTCATTAACACCAAGGCAGCTGCAACTGATTAAAAACCCCCTCTGCTGACCAGATCAATATGCCAGGAGTTGAACTGACTTGATTCTATACTTTAGTTCAAAAGTGTTCCTTTAATTTTTTCGAGCAGTGCAGTAGTCTTGTGAATTCTATCAGTGTCCAGCTGAGCATTGGTTAACCTTTTAGGAGGAGTTTTCATTCTCCTCTGACTGTCCCATGTGGCTGCATGGCCCCTGACCCTTTGTCTTGACAGTGCTGATTTGCCCTGTGCCGATCAAATGCACCCTCCAAAAAAAAACACTCTCTAGCAATATACACCAAACAGAGCATGTGCAGACGTGCCACTGCTACTCAAACGATGGCAGATGGGTTGGGGACAGCAAAAAAAAAGGGAGGTTTAGAGAAGAAAGGCTCAAACAGCCTTTTTACAGAATGCAGAGGATTAACCCCTTAGGATCCACAGTGAGTGTAACAAGCATGCTTTACTGCATATACAGACTGATTTTACTCTTGTGGGTTTAGTAACACTTTAAGAGTCATTCTGGTGCAGTACAAGTGGTTGCCATGAGCTACGGACGTCTACTGCCAGTTAACACAGTCTGTCGGTAGCATGTACCTGTTACAGGTAGACCAGCCTCTAACAGCAAGGGAGCTGTTGGCACTCCTTCCACAGCGGTATGTCTCTTATAGCAACAGGAGCAGACTTGCACGTCAGGGGTCCCCATCCTGTACAGAGGTAAAGCAGCTCAAGAGTCAAGTCAAGTGAACATGTAGAGCCTGTGCTAGATGCCCCCTCTGCTACTGGAAATGATAGTGGAAAATTCTGGACAGGTGGTTGTGGACAAATCTCAGTGTGTCCCTCCTAATTGCAAATTATAGTGAAAGGATGCACATTTAGACAGGGACCCAAGAGTTAACTGGAGAAGAGTTGTGGTGCAAGTGTACATGGTGTACATTCATCTCTAGGAGCAGAAGCCCACATTAAGGTTGAGTATTCCCCCCCAGTGGCTGCGGCCTTGTCCCAGGGCATTGATGAAAACAGTACAAGAGTAAAGGTACCCCATAGGTATAGTAGAGTATTCCTGTTACAGGTGCCTAGCAAAGCCCAGAAGAACCCACGCACCAGGGCAGCCCTCTTATGTGACCCACACTTGGTGCCCAACGAGTTAACTGAGGAAACATGGAGGAGAGCAACACCAACCCTGCTCTACCACCAACACAGTCACAATCCAGTTCAGTATAATAATGCCACAAAATGTCATTTCTGTCTACTGCTATCGATTTAGTTAGCCACATGACACCCTCCCTCCTTCCCCCACATTGCAATACTATGCACAGGGCAGCTGTTCCTTCTGGATGCCCACCCAGTCTCTTTTCCCAGCCTTATACCCTGTGTTAACTTATAGGGGGAGATTTACTAACGCTGGAGCACTCGGAATCTGGTGCAACCAATCAGCTTCTAACTTCATCTTGTTCAAATAAGCTTTGAAAATAAAACTTGGAAGCTGATTTGTTTCTTTTCAGAGCTGCACCAGATTATGCACAATGCAGGTTTAGTAAATCAACCCCATAGTGTTACCTTATCAGCTCCAGGACCAGATGTGCACTGCAATTCACCATCACAAAAAAGAATAAGGTGGCATATAATCCTTACTTCCCATGAAAATATCTACACAAGTTGAGACAGGAGAGACTAGGTAGCAGGGATGTTGAATTTTATATTGCCCGACACCCGGGACATGTAGTTTCGGGGGCCAGGCAGGTAGTTTTTTTTTTATCCTTCAGCCCTGCTGAGGGCAAGGTGGAAGCATTCAGGTAGCAGCGCTGCCGCCAATTGCTGCCACACAGTGCCAGAGTCCACACATTCCTCCCCTCCCCCCCCCACGTGTACCGCCCACTGTCTCCCGGGCTCCGCTTGCCCTTTTGCGGGCCGGGACCTGCTCACCGCCGTTGGCTAGAAGGGTGGGAGGAGACATCCGCTCCCCTCCCCTTCTTGTCCTGACCCAGAAGTGATGTTATGATGTCACTTCCGGGTCCCCGTTCAAAGATTTCCCACCCATTGAGGCCAGGAAAGAATGTAATGCATTGCGATGTGCACTGCATTATATTCAGGGGAGGCATCCAGGGTGTTTTAGAAATTGGATGTCTCAATAAAGAACCTTTTTTTTTTTTTTTAATTGTAATACATCAAAGTTACAACCAAGCACATAACATCCCTTCCTTAAAAAAACTAAGGCCCCCCCACATATACGCACATACAAACGTAAAAGCACACGCTGGGGCTCCTACTCATGAAAACGTTGATTGCAGTACACGTTACATATCACCGCGCACACCTTAATCGCGAAAGCAATAATTCTAGCATGAGACCTCCTCCGTACACTATAGTGATGACCTTTAAGGGGGCTTTTAAAATGTTGCCTATATGAAAATACGGGGTACTGAAGTTTGTTGCCATTTCACATGTGCAAGCAAATTTAAGGTTTGCATTGTGGTATATGTATTTACTCGATGCAATCTCATCTTTTATATTTTACAAAAAAAAGAGTAATTTATTGCTTTTTTTGTGCCCTAAAATTAACTTGTATTTTTTACTGACATTTTGTGGTAATATCATTCAACATAAAAAATTGGAACTACCAGTATTTTCTTCTCTAGGGTCTCTGATTTCAGAAAATATATCATGTCTGGGGGGTTTTGTGTAATCTTCAGGTCTAAAATTATTTTTCAAACGTGTGCAAAAAACGCAAAAATGGCTCTGACAGCAAAAGGGATAAAGGATAAGCCGGACATGCCCCTTTCCTGATGAGCACCCAATCAGTGCTCAGTATACTGCAAGGTCTATCCCTTCCCTGCTAGTCCCTGGGTGCTGGAGACAGGCAGGAAGGGGGGGGGAGAAGGAGATATACAATGAAATGTTAAAAATATTACACGTTTAAGTCACCATAAAACCCCTTTTTATTTTAAAAGCCCCAAACATTCCATGAAGCATCTCAGATTTAAATACGATTTTGCTTCAAATGTATTTTATTTTATCTGGACAAGTAGATTATCATGAGGGACAAGTAGATTGGGGCCCCGATTTAGTCCCTGGACAAGTAGTTTTTTAAAATGTTCCACACCCCTGAGGTAGGCCATGTGATATCAGCATATGATATCATCAATAACCTCGACTATCCTCCCCTCCCTCCTCCTGCTGCTCCAGGCCAATCACAGAAATGTTGCTGAGATGGATTACCCTGCAGCCACCTGGGATGGGGACCCCATTACTAAGCTGGACAGAGATCAAGGCCACATTGTTTTAACTGGGGACAAAATCAGGGACACTTTGTTTCGGGGGGAAGCCTCCTAAAATCAGGGCCTGTTCCCTGAGACTGGGGACATTTGGTCACTCTACCTATCGATCTATCTAGGAAACTTTGTAACATATTGATTACAAATTTGATAATTAAAACTGTATACACATATATTGAAAAATGGATGTTGGGTTACATATACTGTACTGTAATGTGTTCCAGTCCTGCATCTCGCAGTTCCATTCTCTGTGTTTTTACTGACAGTTCATGGAACTGGTCCTTTTATAAATTGTCACCTCTCACTTCATCTTCTTGTCCTGTGTTTACAGTGCCGTGGTTCTGGATGGAAAGATCTATGCTACCGGAGGGATAGTGAGCAGCGAGGGTCCTGCGCTTGGAAACATGGAGTACTACGACCCCAAATCCAACATTTGGACTTTATTACCCAACATGCCTTGCCCTCTCTTCCGCCACGGATGTGTAGTCATCAAGAAATACATACAAAGTGGTTGACAAAACAAAACAAACACAGATGAACTGTCTCCTTAGCTGAAGATGTTTTAATACATGTACAATTTTTTTTTTTTTGATTTTTACCGTTTCAATGGCATTTGCGCCAAATGTGAAGCGGGTAATCAATTTTTTTTCTGCTTCAACTGCATTTTTTTGGTTATTTACAAGTACGATAAAGGACATTTTTGTTTTCCTTTTCTCTGCAGGTTTTGAATACACTCTACATTGAATGTAGAAGATCACCTACTCCTCTGGGTGATGCTGGAGCATTGGGCTCCATACTATGTACTATATTGTAAGTTACTAAGGCTGACGTGTCACTAGGCGGCATAGTGGAACACGTGGACACCTTAGGTGCAATAGATTCCCATATTTTTTACATGGGTTCAGTAAAATAAGGTTCGGGGAGGGCGGATGTGTATTTTACTAATAGACGTGAGGATGGGATTTTGTTTTTTTGTTTGGTTTTTTTTTTTTTTTTTTAGACGACTGTTTGGTATAGTACTGCTAAGCATCTCATTCTGGGGAAAGAGGGTGTTTTTTTTATATTTCTTTTGGAATGGCATTTTCTCATTCTTACAGATATATAGCATTAGCCAGGCAGGAGGAAAAGAAGCAGTTTGTCAGAACACTCAAGCGTATTTTATAACGCGATCATACATTTGAGCCTATTCAAGAAAATTCTGCAAGAGGCAGAGAACAGTACCCCAGAGCAACCAATCGGTACCCAAAGCAACCAATCGGACTGCATCGTGTGCTTTCAGTAACAAGACTCCTGATTGGCTGCTTAAGGTTATTGCATTTTGCTCTTTCCAGAGGTTACCAATAAGTGTGATTGGCTGTATCCAACAGCAACTGGTCATGTGGTGCACAAAGAGTCTAAATATGATCGCTTTATCCATTCTGAAGGTCCTAACTATAGATTACTACAAGCAGACTATCAGTTCATACAAGACATCTGCTATCAAAGTTATAGGCGGTCCAACAAGTGAGGCGCATTTTTGTTTTGTTTTTTGTTGGCTCCCAGCATGCTTTGCAAGGTGGCTCAGAGCAGAAAGAGAAAGCACTGTGTGAAATTTAGCAGGCCACAGTACAGTAGACAAATCTTTTCATTTGCCCAGAACTATTAAAGAGTTGGTTCACCTTTACCACAAATCTGCCAATGCAGATAATTCCTACCCATAGATAAAAACAAACTGAGCAGCTTTGACCAACGTTGAATAATGCCTTTGCTATAGGTGTAGGCCATATATGTACCTCATGAAGCCTTGCCAAAAAAAATTCCAGGATATGACATCATTCCAATCTGTCTTGTTGCTAGTACATTGATAAGACACATTCCACAGTTGCTGCTTACCCCACCATCACAGGAACAAACTCTCAAAGCCCTACATATGTGTGGTCCACTATCTCTACCGTCACGGCTCAATCACCTCAGAGCTACTGCAACAGGGAAAAGAGAGATCATGGAAGGGGGTTTGATCTGGCTGGGAGTGTCTCAGCAACAAAGCAGGCCAGGATGATGCCATCTATGGTAGTTTTTTTTTAGCTAGGGCTTGGGAGGTATGTAACTGGCCTACACCATGCATGGTTATTATTAATCTTTGGTCAAAGCTGCAAAATTTGTTTTTATCTATGGTCAACCCTTACCTGCATAGGCAGTTTTTGGTAAAGGTGAATTAACCCTTTTAAAAATCACACATCAGCACAGCTATGTAACAGCTTCTGTTTTATTTCTTTTACAAACATTTTATATGTAGCATGAAGACAAACGTTTCACCTCATTTTATTTAAATATACCTCATAGATATAGACACCAACCAGTAACTTTTATAGGACTGTTAAATTTGAATGGTAGGGAGATAAAAAAAATAAAAAAGTTTGGTTAAAATTTGGAAAATTTAGATTTAATACGATAAATATATTTTTTGATGCTGCTAGTTAAAATTTCCAGAAATCGATCTTTAAGTTGCTATTATGTGAAATCAGGCTGAAAGTGAGAGAGTCAGCATTGTGCACCAATCAGGCTCTCCAGCACTGCAGAGTACTGTCATCCTAACATGTCAGGTGGAGGAGTGACACAGAAGATGGCAGTATAGCCACAGGCTCTAGCTATATAGCATGCTAGGACAATTTGTAGCAGTCACATCATGCCTCTAAGTACATCCATTAGTGTCTGTATATCTAGAGGCAGCTTTAATCAGGAATGTTGTTGTGAATCTCTATGTAGAAAGCCACTGATGTCTAAAATAATATATTGGCCTTGCTGTTAGGACCATATGTCCAGCCAACAACATTGCTGCCTCTATTGCAACTAGTACACATTTTGCAGTTATGGATGGATAAATTAACAACATGATTATTTTATCTGTCAGGCTCCAGGCTCAGATTCTCCCTGTAAGAAATCTTGGATAGAGTTCCCTCTGCCATTGGCTCTCATTGCCCTCACAGGACCAGTCCTGGTCCTTCTGCATTCTCTGGCATATAGACTAATAACAGTTCAGCTGCTAAAGGCATGTTCCCTCATGGTGGCCACAGTGGGGCATACTGAGATGTAGAGATCTCACCTACAGAGTAATCAGAAGAAATGAAAAGCCAGAAGGTCTTCCCCCTTCCAGCGTCCACCAAGAACTGCAGTATCAACCTTAGGTTGGCTGACTCTTAAAACCACTCAGATATCATCATACTTTGATTGTTGGCTTCTTATGCTGTTTTCCTGCAAGTGCAGGCCATATAAGTCATCAACATCTAAGTTATAGAACATTATCTGCATCTTTAGTTGGCTGTTATGACAAACTGTTTCCCTTTCTTAACAGAACATGTATTTAAATTATTTTAGATACAACCAATGCTTAGATCATATTATTTCCAGTACAATATTAGTCTTCCTGCAAATCTTAATGAAATTGAATCTTCTGCTATTACTAATAAAATGTCATTAAAAGACACATATATATTAAATTTGTAGTTACATATAGTTCATATGAAGGTGAGTTTTGGAGGCTATAACAGCTAGCTATGTTATCAACAACTATAAAGAAATGTGCCACTAGCTCATCAAAGATAACAATTTACAAATGTGTATATTTATTTTCTATACCTCTTTAATCAAAGTTGTAAGAAGAACAATAGCTCATGCTACATTCAATGTCCTTGTACAACTTTACCTGCTATCCCCATAGATTAGGTCATATCTGATCAGAGGTAGACAATGAAATACTGCATTTGTTAGTGAATGTGATCCTTGCCCCACCAATTGGGTTCTCCTTTGCACAGTCAGACCTCTGGAAATGGCAGGTGTGGTCATACTTGTGTCAGCTAAAAATTTGTTCCACCTGACCTGCCAACAAAGGTCATAGGTCTTTCAAGCAAAACTCAAAAATAAATGCTGTTTTATCTTGAGGAGCTGGTACATTTGGGCATCAGATGCCAATGTACATTGGCCGTTCATGTACAAGGTGGTATGAAGTGAACAAATTGCACAAATTAAGTGAACCTTGAGTCTTATAAGTAAAGAGCAAAATTTCCTAATTATTATTTGAATCCAGATTGGTACCATTTGGGTAGAATTCTTAGGGTCCTATATAAGAATGTACAATGGATGACCCTTGGAGAAGTGCCCCAGGTGCTAATGAGCTTCATTTAATAAGAAAGGCCTCAGACTCCATACAGAGCATTAGTATACTCTATTAATGCCTTTCATGGATTTAGTGATGGGCTTAAAAGCTGCAGGTCAAAGTCACTCTTTAATTCTGCAGTTTCACTGAGAACCTACACAGCCAGCCACTAATGGCTTCCTGGTAAAAGGCCGCTCTTCTCTCTTAGTTGCACAGCGTGTCTTTATATGTGGTATTCATGGTAATTACGGTCACAGAGCAGCAGTGTTCTTCAGTGATCAAAAGATCCTAGATTTAGATAACCATTGAAGAGAAATGTCAGTCTTTTTTTCTGTTTTGTGTAGAGCTAGGAAGGGTTAGAACCTCTGTCATGGGTATATTGTTGTCTGGTAGGCTTCTCCGAGCTTCTTGTATTTGTGGCAGGTGGTCACCAGAACAGGAAGTGAAGGGGAACCTCACAGAGATTCAACCGCTTCTCCATTTCCAGAACTTAAAAAAAGTTGGATTCCATTTTCATATATGTCATTTGCTATTTGCATATAAGAATCAAGATTGGCACTCTTCACCATTAATCAAAAACCTAATTGCATACCTCTACCCATGTGTAAGAAGCATTCTTTTTTTGCCTTTGTGAACAATGAACAGCCTTATACAGGAGCTTGCAGCAGGATCATTTTTGTTTCTGTTCGGTCACTACTGCCATGGATGTCCAGGCACAACTGGCGTCCAGCAAGTGTCTGTGAGCACCTAGGAGCCCACCGCTGCTGCAAACACACCAATCTGGCTACCTTCAATGGCTCCAAGGGCTGTATGGGGCGGGAGAACAACTGTCTTTTCAATTATAACATTAACCAGCAATACCGCTGCATGAGGGCATTTTATTAATTCAGAATGTTAATTCAGAATATAGTTCTGCAAAGTTTTAAATGTTCTTTTCTGTGCCCATGTTATCTTTTGTACTATTCATATAACTTATTCAAGTGGCCCTAAACATTGTCTATGCTAGCATCAGAACTCAAGGGAATCTCCAGATCTTTTTCTTTGTCTCTGAGGAGCCCCTTTGATTGTAGACATTGTTGTATGCAAAAGTCATACTTCTGGGGCTAAACCTGACCCCTCCACTTAATAAATAGTCCAGTGCCAGAACCTCAGAGGTCAGTAGGAGTTATGACATTGGACTATTAAATAGCAGGGGCAGGGCTAGTATTAGGCTGGCCATACGCTATAAAATTTTCTTACAATTTTCTGTCCAATTTCCTTTAGATTTACCTTCAACTATGAGTGTTGTTTAGGTTTGACCTCATATTATATGGTTTTTGGTAAATCTAAAGCAAACTTCTCAAGAAAATTGTATAACGTATGGCCAGCCTTAGGGGGGCCTAG